CGCTCCTATTGGTCCGTCGGTGCGGTTACCGCACGACGCGCATGCGCTGTACGCTTAGATGAGTCTCACGGCACGGGCGTAAGTACTTACTATGTAATATGTATACATATGGGTGTCACAAATGTTTTTATTACAAGTAATATTACTCTATTATCTAAGCCAGTAATGTGTGCTTATTTTGAACTTGATAATATTCAGAATTACTTGTATACATAACTTTCGATATCTACAATAATAATATCTTTGATGTATGAAAGAAATGTATGTACCTACATTAAAAGATAATTTTTGACATGTATGAAATATGTACCTACATTAAAATATATTTTTGAAATGTATGAGATGTATGAAAGAAATGTATGTACCTACATAAAAAGTTCATTTTTTAAATGTATGAAATGTATGAAAGAAATGTATGTACCTACATTAAAAGATAATTTTTGACATGTATGAAATGTATGAAAGAAATGTATGTACCTACATTAAAATATAATTTTTGAAATGTATGCACCGTACAATAACAATACACGTTAAACATCATACCACAGAGTCATACGCAAGTTAAAAACAAACTGCTATGATATTAATGAGAAAGGAAAATCAACTTAATGGTATTCGAGTTAGGGTCGATTTCTCTCTATTTTTTAAATACTATTTTAATCTTGCCAGTATTCAAAGACAACTACGATTCTTACTCGATATTTTAAATTATTATGTAATCGATTTTTCAGTACAAATGTAAATAACCAACGACACTAATAATGTACTACTATATTCCGTTCTTTGAAACGGAACACTGCTATAATACAAAATAATGAAAATTTACTGTTCACAACGACTCATTAAAAGCATCATCGAATAATGCGCTGTAATAAAATCCTGTTATCGATTATTCAAAAAATCGATAATACATGTATTTATTTTTAATATGACAACACTTCATACATAAGTATTATTGGAAATAGTATTACTTGCTTGTTCGGCTATTTTTAATTTACTTAAAATTTTTTTATATGTTTAATTTACAATAATGATATATTAAGTGCTTATTATTGGAAAATATAAAAAAGACATTTAATTAGGCCGATACAAATGACAACAATGCCATCTATGAAAGCATTTTGAAAACATTGAGCCCCGTATTAGCACTGATTAAATTAATTAAGTACTGGAAAATAACAAAATGAGTAAATATATGAAAATTACTTTTCTAAACGCATTATTTAATTTTAACATGTATATATAACTTTTTAAAAATTGATTAAACATTTTTGTAAACACAGTTTTGTTTTTTAAAACGTTTGCAAAACTATGAAGAATTCCATCGATACCGATCACGCCATCTACATGCAACTTTTAGCAATAATAATGGCTAGTTCCTCACGGATTGCCACTGATATGTATATATTTCTCATTACAACACTGTTTTGGATGAATACCTATGGACGACCTCAGGTTGAATTCCACGGTGCAGACACTGATGAGTACTATTGTTTGTATCGATCTCGGTGTTTTCTATGTATGTATTTACAAAAATAATGTATCTAAGTATTTATATTAGTTGTCATGTATACATGTAACAAGCTCTCCATAGATTGGGAGTGGATGACGCTGTGTGAATTGGTCATGGAACTTATTGTATTATATGATACGTATTATTAGTATTATTATACGTATTTCACAAAGATAAATTTTTCATATAAACGAACGATCACTTCACTGTTTCACTAGCGAAATAATATCATCCAAAAACGCTATTCATTCGCTTTGATGAAATATTGTTTATCCTATTCACTCACAAGAAAATTTGCACGCGGAACGTATTCATATGCAACAAAAACAATTCACTAACAAAAAGCGTTTCCGTTTCGGTTGCCTTTTATTACGTGTGATATTGACTCTCGAAGACGACGAGATCCCAATCTAAGTATATAATCTTGTATATGCAAATGATCCCTACTCCGTTACAACCGAATTCTTACCCGACCACGCCTTTTGGGTTATAAAAAGGGCGAAATTCTCGTAGACACAGCGAAATAAAATATATTCATACAGTTTTCCATTTTCGAACACAGTTTTTACCTGGTCCCTTATTATTTGGGTAGCGTCAGAGTCTTAAGCGTTTAATGAATTAAGTCAATATATTTTATCTATATCGTAATAGAGGAAGCATGTTTAAAACCCACCATTTCTACTCATTGCCAGAATGTCGTAAAAGGTGACTACGAAAAAAGTATAATTATTGTCTCATTTTGAGTTCATCATTTCGTTTAAAGTTTTTCTTCTTCAATCAATAATCACACACTCGTTGTTAAACAAGGTAATCTCTAAATTTTATTACATATTAAAATGGTAATATGTAATATATCAGTCACTTCTTGAGCATTTGGTAAAGGTCTACATTATTAAACAGAGAAATGACAACCAATTGTACCATTATTTTTTAAATTTGTCTTTATTTGTGTTAGCTCTTCTGGGAATTGTAGCCATTGGGTAACAATTTGAGCTAGGTCTGGTGTTGTCTTTATTAATGGATACGCTAATTTATTTGGATTATTCTTTCAAAATCATTGGATCTTTCAAAAAGTTCCGGATATGATGGTTTAACAAATAGGCATATTTCATAATTAATACATGAACGTCAAAGTTAATCGTTTGAATTTTTGAAATAAGGGTTTGCAACTTGTTATTATATACTGAAATATCAAATACTACTCGTATATATTTCTTCTGGCAAAGATAAGGTCTATTCAAAGTCACTGAATTTTCCCTTAAAACTAAACAGCATCTAAATTTAAAGGTAACATAACTGTATACCAGATTAGTGGTTATTATTCTTGTTATCGCCATATTGCATATGAGAAACCATTTGGTTGATTACGTATGTTACTGACGCGAGTTTTTCAAGTGCAGTTTTTATCCAAAGCAATTCCTAGAGATGTTAAAGCATTTGTTTCATTAATCGTTTGACTACTAGTAATGTTTAGATTTTGAATACTATTGCCATATTGATTTTAAAATAGTATTGCATTACTTTTTAATATATTTACATTCAATATGTCTATTATTTTGAATGTTGTGTGTACTATACAAAGTACAACAATGCAATTTTCACTGCATGAATTAATACAATACAGCGAATAAAATAGCTTTTAGATAGAGAAACTTTAGTATTTTATTACAAAAAATTCGGTCCCCCATTTGTAGTCAAAAAACCTATCTCTGAAAGGGATAAAAGGATTAAAATTATACGTATAGAAAGGGAGTGAGAGATTTAATCAGATAAAGCGATGCTGTAAGCCAACTTGAGCCTTCTTACATGTTAATACATGTATATCATTGGCGTTGGTTCAAATTCTTTTGATATCTAATTTAATTATGATTAGACACTTGACATTTTATAATTACTATTGATTTATCTATGTTGCTTTTTAATCCCTGATGCAAAAAAAGGGCTGTAATAAGGTTAACGTGTATGTCAGTCTGTAGCAGAAAAATTTATACAAATGGACCGAATTTGATATTTTTGTTCTTTTTTGTTTGAAAGCTGAAGTCGTCTAATTGTTTCTAATCTATAATTTATTACTGTTATTTTATTATTCGTTGTTACTAGAACTTTCTAATTTATCATCTAGAATAAAAGAAGACGTATAACGTACACAGAAAAAGTCAGCCATATACTCAATATTGTATAACTTTTTCTGTGTACGTTACGGGATGTGTTCGATGATGATTCTATTTGTAGAGGATAGTCCCGTGTTACTACCACACCAACTTCATCACTATTGCTTTCGATCTTTGTAGCGTAGTAATAGTTTAAATTAGTATCTGTTTGCTTTTCTCTTATTCCTTAATTAATTCACAATTCAAGCTTCCAAACAATCCTTCCAAATTAGTAGTCCCGCCTGAGTTTTTACAGAGCAAAGTAGACTGTTTTTTGTTTGTCTAGTATTCAACAATAATTATTAAAATTATATTGTATAAATATGTTTGTTTACTTTGTAAATTTTAATTAGAACGATAGTAGTTGAGATTACAAGATAACAAAACAAATATTACAACATTGCCCTATCTGTCTACCAATCCCAAATAATTTATTACATAATATAAGACAATGGTTATACCTGCGAGCATTATATCCTTAAACATCTCCACCATGCAACTAGTTTTTGTTAATATTTCTGCGTAATGAGATAAACAGCGCGCTAGCGAGATTAAACCTGTTTGAGATCAATTTAATCTTAAGGTCACTGTTTGTTTTATATATAAATATATAGTAGATATAACTAACGCTGATAAGAGTTTATATTATTTTAAGAATTAACTACATGATATATAATATAAATATGTATTTGAATTCTACGTTCTATATTTGAGGTCAACAAATAGATCAATTTCATTTCTTAATTACAATGATACGAAAAAGTAGATACTCGTACATTTTATAACAATGAATAGGTAACTTTTTAAAGGTAATGACCGAAAAAAAACGTATTTGTAAATAATTCGAAATAAATAATAATTTCTAATAACTTGAAAACTTTTATCGTATTGACTATATTAAATATAGAAGATATTTTACATTTCATTTGGCATAGTGAGTGTACTTTTCAGTGCATGTAGTATTATACAATTTGTCGATATAGAATAATGACATTTTCTACATTTGTTGTTGGAATTCAACGAAATCGTTTCTTATGTACGACTAATAATTTACTACTGTTATCTCAGACGTAGTAGTAGACTGCCAACGTGGTAATGGCATCGTTTGACATGTCCAGGTTTTATTGTATTCTTTTGTGATATAATTTAATCTAGCGTTGTAACGTGAGGTGCATTTCTGACTTCTCGGATTAATTTGGCTCCTTATCGGTATTTCCAACGCCAGACAACGGGCCGAAATAGAATTTGACAGTTTCTTTTCTTTCGGCCACATTTCAAAGTTATAACTTTTGACTACGATGTTCTTTCTTTTAATAACAGATTATTATTAATTACAGAATATGGACGTACATGTAAAGATATCGGATGTCTAAATAGCGAAGTTTGCGTGCTAGCTGAAGAACCGTGTACGTTTGGACAGTCCCACAATTGTGGTACATATCCTACGTGTAAAAAGAAGTCGCAAGTAGAAGGTAAATCATTTTATTATATGTCCTATCAAGTATCAAAACAATTTCATTTTGTCTTCGTATAGTAATGAGATAAATCAATCCTCCTTGCATCTATGTGAACATACAATCATTTCATTTGTTAGATTTTTCTCTAGTAGATATGACAAGGGTAATGGTGAAATTTTATATTTAAAAAAATACGGAATTATTAAAAAAATACGGATTAACATATATTCTTGAAATTATTACAGGGTCACATACGAACTCGGCACCTCCAACACAAAAGCCAGTAGCACCTCCGTCTCCTCCGAGAGACATCGATGCTCCTCCTAACTACCCGGCGCCGGCTCCACCGGGCGGACAGTCCCCTTATGGAAATAATTCACCCTATGGAAACAATTCGCCTTATGGAAACAGCTCTCCCTATGGGGGGCACAGTAATCAAGGGGGTTCATCGATTGGCGGTGGCTCCCCCTATGGTGGTAACTCGCCTTATGGTGGAAGTTCTCCATATGGCGGAAATTCACCAAGTGGCGGAAATTCTCCTTATGGCGGAAACTCTCCTTATGGCGGGAACTCTCCTTATGGTGGATCTAACAACAGAGGCGGTAGCAGTCCCTATGGTGGTAACTCCCCATACGGCTCAGGCTCTTCTGGAGGTTTCGGAGGGTCGGGAAGCAACGGTAGTCCTCTAGACTCAATTTTGAATACTCTCAATAAATATGCAAATGGTGGCGGCGGCAGCAGTAGCAGCGGCTCAACAGGGAGCAACGGCGGATTGTCTGGCATTCTTGGGAGCATCGTTGACAATATATCCAAAAATGGAGGTTTGAGCAGTTACTTCAACACCAGACCAATAATACAGAACCCTAATTATCCATCCTATAACTCAAATTCGAGGAGTTCTAATCCCCAGTATTCTTCATCAGGTTACCAGCCAAGTTATCAGACGCCGTCTCAAAACCGAAACTATGGTCAAAGTAATGCCCACCACAGTGGAGCCACAACACATAAACCAGTATCGTATGGCTGGAATTTTGGGTAAATAATATCCGTAATTACAAATAGGTGTGGCTTCACGCGGTGATTTCTTTTTACAGCTGCTTTGCATGAATGAGCACTCTTTCTTTTATATTTTTAATTATTTCTTTTTTCTGCATTAATACAAAGGCTTGAACACCCTCGGGACGGTTATCTACAATACCGACTTGTAAAACTCGTCTATCCTATTGGTATTACAGAATTTAACACAGGCTGCCTAATAAGGTGTCAGGAATAATCGAAACTACAATAATAATGTATAACTGTAAAATATTCATTGTACTAATTACATTAGATTTTTTTATTTTTTGTTGGAGCTTAGAGCTTGTATTATGTTACTTGCATGAAATAATAACAATGTAATACAGTAATTATTTAAGGCTACTTATAATACTCAATTATCACAAATTATTTGTTATTTTTTTATGTATTTTTACACTTCTGCAATTGTACAAAATTCGTATTTATGTTTTTAGCTTGTAAGAATAAATATTGTATTGTTTCGCTGGAATATACGAATCTCATTTTTACTTACTTTTGTACTTTGACTTACGGTTTAAATAAAGCGACTCACAAGATGCTAAAATTTTAACGATAAATATTTATTTATATTGTGTATATAACAGAACTGAGGCTACTGTCATTTATTCACCAACAAGGCGAAACAAGCATTATACGTACATACATATAATGCTTATTTCATCTTGTTAGTGTGATAGAGTATCAATTTCATCTATTTTCTTTTTAATTATGCTAATTCGAAATGCCAGCATTATCTATATACGCAGAAATTAAGATAGCTAGATATGTACAGGTAGATACAGGGGAAATTTGCCTAATATACCTAGAAAACTATTCTCCACTCACGAATATACTTGAAGTAGTGCCATAAATTAATGTAATTATATTATATTTCAGTGCGACTGTGATGTTGATGTACATCATTCACCAGTACATCCAGAATATGACAAGGAATTAACCATACCAACCTTTGTCTACTGCTAATTTTTGTCTACTAATGCAAATTAAGATGTACCGCCGATTTTTTTTTTATTAATCCCTTCTCATACCTGTGCCAGATTTGAGAAGTGATTTGTGATATTTTAAACCATTCACATATACGAAAATCTTAAGAAATAATTGTTACCTTTGCCACCTTGGTGATTGAATCACCAATTAAAAGTAGAGTCTTAAATATGATATAATTTTATATTGAACATATACTATAGTTGTTTTAATTGTTGCGTTTAGTATACACATTATTAATATATTGTCGAGTTTTGAAGAGTGAGCTGAGCATTTACCATTTACCTTAGCTTATTTACCATTAAATTATAATGAATGTTAATCCGACAATATTAATAATATGAATATATTTTTTACTATACTAATATGAAATATGTAGGTGCTATATTTGTTTGTAAAATAAGAGATATTGAATAAACAATCCGCATTTGGTTCGGCACAAAATTGAATAAAAACCCAAGTCATATACATATTCTTTATTTAATAAAGGACATAAAGACTAGATATTTAGTTACAAAATATAAATTTTATATATATGTGTTGTATAAATATATTAATTTAACCTCTACCAAAATTATTATTATAAGGAATGTATATAAATACTGTGTTATAAAATTACGATCTGTTACAGTCTTGTGTATATAATGTAAGTAATCTCATTTATTTCAAATTGTCAATATTAATTTCCATTTTTACTTATATATTTGAAATTTTGGAATGTTTCAATAAAGCTTGTTTTACAATTGGTGATTTAAATTATATATATATACTTAACCCGACTACTATACATTTCACACCAAACATCCAAAATATAATCAGAACCCTCAATATAAAATTTTACTACCACTGAACTAATATCAATATAATAATAATATAACTTCACGCTGTTGTGGCTTATATATTAATGTTAATTCCCTATAATAAAAACTCATATGAATTAGTAATTAAAAAACAGATCGTACTAAAATTTCATAACAAAATCTTGTAAACATATGGTAATAGTATTTTAATTCAGTAAATATTATTAACAGTGCTGCTTGTAAGGAGGCAATTGACGTCTGCTCTTATCATAGTGCTGATTTAAATATATATCCAATGAGATAGCGAGTTTATAATACCCGTGTACTTAATACAGAGACAAGTACTTATGTTATAAATTTAATTGACAGTGATACTCCAAGTACTCTTTGCAAATTGTACTATTTCATTTCTCAATACATTTAAACATAAAACAAATTAAAGTATATTTACGCCTAAAATAACCTACAATTTTACGTTTTACGTATAGACGAGTTTCATGCTTGTAATCCAAAGTCAAGCAATAGTACAACTATAAAAGTTATTCCTCTGAAATAAATTAGATTCTTAAAACAGTGCATGCATATTAAATTTTATTTCATGTTCCAAAACTAGTCTCCAGTTTCATAAATACTATGATTGATTTGGGATTACTAAAACCTGGCCGTTATGATTGCCTCGGATAAGAACTTATCAATTATTCCTAATACGATTAATGTGATATTTTAGACCTACCGGAGACATACTTACATATAGTAAATTATATATACCTTTTCCTTTACATTTAGAATATGATAAGAAGTACAGGTATGTTTTACAGATGCAATAAAATATCAATAAGTACAATAGTACCATTACTTAAGGAACTAATATTATTTTGTTTAATTAAGTTCCCATTAATTATGTGAGACCTACAAAAATTCTCGGCTGAAACCTGACCACCGCTACTAGAACGGTACCATCTCTGTTAGTGATAAAATTCCAACTTTTGAATCTACACCCATATTGCGGCACGATTCGCCTCTGAACGAGGCATCATCAGGTATAAAATATACGCTATAATATCGTAGAAACTCTGACATCACGGACTAATAAAACGACAGTGAAATAAATTAAGATGTGTCGTATGTAGTCGTATTTTTCGTAGGAAATTGTAGAAATACAGGTATTAATAAAATAGAACTAATATAAAATTCTTAAGTCACTTGTAAAAATAAATAGTATAAATAATCCCTTGAAATCACTTGTTTTTAGCTTCTAATTTATTTTCTTCCTCTGCCTGTAATCTCTTTGGCCTAGAAATTTTATGTAGCTTATTTAATATAAGACCTAATATCAGGAAAGATAACCAAACACCGTACCAATAGTGGTAAACAGAAGAGTAATATATCCAGATCCTGTCGAATGTGAGCAGAAGGAATGCAGCCGATTGATAAGATTCTGAATGAGATCGTAGGAACCACATTATAAAGCCGATAATATTCTTTTTCTGAAAAGAGAAAACATGTTTGTTTATTAATCTGTAGTAATTAATAACAATAAAATATTAAAGTAAGAAAATCTCATAATAATTATTCAATATTTGTTTGTTTCCTTAGGGGCCATCAATATACGATAATATAGTATACGTTTAGGGAGAAAGGGAGGGACGAAAATTGTGAAACGGGGTCATGATATAACATTTCAAAATGTAATATATCTAAATATTAAATCACGAAATTAGAATAATTAACAACTAATTTCTAACCACCGCCCTGGCTTCGCACAGGTATTTATATTGTTTTTGTTCAACGTTGGACTGCATAATCAAAGTTTTCATACGTACAAAAGTTCAATTAAACACGTATAGTAGATGTTGTTATCTATTTTAATAAATAACTGAATAAAACTCACCAAACCTGTGGCAGGCTTGTAATACAACTTGTAATATATATCCTCTGCCATCACATAAAATGGGCAAAAATAAATGCAGAAGAAATATCCAGCGTGAATTCCATGCCATATTACGGATACGAACAACGCTGCATGGATCCTATAGAAGTATGAGTAAAAATAAGTATAATTATAATTATCAAATAATTATTATGAAAACATATAACTGCAATTTCTACCATTGATATACAGACAGATCAACAATTTCTTGATCATACATCCTAGACATTCATTTCAATTTCTTGAAATATAATAAAATCTAGCTAGCTCGAAAAAGATTTTTTTAATGCATAATTAAACTTATTTTAATATTATTATAATGTCATTAAATCTTTGTTTATCCTTTTCTAAGGTATTCTCTCGATTAAATTTAATGACAAAACACTAAAGCCACTAATTGCACTAGTTAGATTAAAATTAATAAATAAAATAATATAACTTAGTCGCCGCACTGGTATGATAATAGTACATAATCCATTTATGGGGTGAACTATGATTGTATGTGTATGTATAAGCTGTTGTATTAAATTGAACTTACTTCAAAAACTTTATTGGGAACCTCTTGTACACAACCATAGCTACCCAGTATTGAACTGCTTTATTCCACACCTTCATAGAATCACGCAAAGTGACGACAGTCTCGCAACCCCATACATCCATAGATTCAACGGTATTGAAGTCATATTGAGCAAATTTTGCTTCGTCTTCAGTCCTGTAAACATTTTTTTAAATAAAACATCATTGACAGGAGTGTATCTATACAAATATAATAATAATCTCAGGACAATTGCCAGAGGAGAATTGGACACAGAGACATCTAGATCCAAGGTGTGTTATGGGTACTAGATAACTGATACAAATACATTCACATATTTATGTTTCGTAAATACATACATATTTTACATAGAAAATACCCAGACCAATACAAACAATCATAGTTATGAATACAAATGTTTGTGCCGTGCGAGGAATCGAACCCGCGACCATCGGAAGTACGGCAGTGTGTTAAACCACTAGACCACCGTTACCGACTACTACTTAATGTTATAAATTCGAAATATTGTCTGTATACCTTTTCATAACTAAACAGTTGTATAGATCAAGATGAGGATGGACATAGGCAGTTTTGTTTCAGAAATAGCAAAGTAGCGAGAAACAGCTAGTTTAGACCATTTGTGGAAATGTGGAATGGATTAACGAAAAATACTTAACCTATTATAGGATTTGTCCCACATATATAAAGCTTCACTATCAGTAAACAACATAATAATATTCTGTATTAGCCCCTGTGTACAGGTAATTTTTACATAGTATCTTTTCAATTACAAAACGGATACAGTTTCAGCAATAGATAGTGATACAAGAGGAAAGTTTATATGTATAATACATGTACAGCCATGCGAAGATAGTGCGGGTAGCTAGTATCAAATAATTAAATACGTGAGATCACTAGGTTTATAGTTTCATGCCCTCAAAGAAATCTATAATGGCATTTTTTATAAAACAGTATAGTAATCGTCATGGATTACTATGTAATTTACAGAATAGAGATATCTTACTAATATTAGGTATAGATGCGAAAGTTTGTGTGATGCAGACGTTGCTTATAACTTCCTATGGCGCGACCATTATTAAAAATTTGAAAATTTTGAATACTACAAATATCACGATATTTGCAATAATGAGTATAGGTAATAAAAAATATTTGTGGTCAAGTAATAGGTATATTGGTATTACGAAGTAGATAATACACATTGTTTCCCTAATCCGTATAAATACATATTGTTATATATCTCGTCTATAGACATGTGTATGATATTTTACATAATGATTACACAATACCTACTCGCCTATGACGTTATAAGCCGCGTATAACATGAACCGACATGACGCGACTACCGTGACTAGATTGTATAACTGTTTGATTCATACAATCAACAATACCCTGCCGATTAAGTTAAGATTTTTATTGTCATGGATGTTAATGGAATGGATTACCCGCCTGGGCTAATGGTTTACGCTGGCGGACCACCAGTGGAGGATGATAGGATGAGAAATGGGAAATTGACCACGACGGTTTCCAGTGGAGACCGCGTGGAGTTCGACATGACATGATACTTTGCAATATGGCACTATGGCCACAAAAAAAGCACTCTTTAAAAAAATGGAAGGGTGTTTAAGTAAGTTTCAGTATCTGAAGTCTGTTTGTAATATTGAAATAACCTTTTTTTACTACATGCATATGAATATAAATACGGTACATATACCAAAATAACATTTTTACAACTTTTGTCTGTCTGTCTGTTTGTTCTGACTAATCTCTAAAATGGCTGGACCGATTTTGACGGGACTTTTTTGGCAGGTAGCCGATGTAATAAGGAGTTAGGCTAGTTTTGTTTTAGAAAAATAAAGTTATTTTCCACGCGAATTAGATAAGTTTACAAAATTAGGTATTATTGTGATTATATACAACAACGTTTCAAAAGAGTGAGTAAGTTAAGGCAGAGTTTGTTATCTGTCTTCTTGACTTCTCATAATTGTTACATACATTTAGACCTAGAGGAATAAAGAAAAAAGGTGGCATACGGAGTTCTACCAACACTTTTAGTAAATTGACAAGCGGCACATGACTGCTACACTGTTAATTTCCATCTGTGTTAAACAAAAATAGTTACTACATAAACAAGCTGTATGTTACTACTTCCACTTTCTATCTGCTTGTACGACAGAAATAGTAAATTATCCATTAAAAGTATAACAGTATCAGGCCCACGAAACCTACAGAACAAATATACTCGCAAACATGCTTAATTAGATAAGTGAATAAAGTCATTTCATACATTTTTTTCATTTTCAAATATCCAACTGTAGGTCCGTGGCCAGTTCTATTCTGCCCTTGAACAGGATATGCGCCTACGCCAGCTGATGTGCACACACTCTCAGCGAGGGTCATGCCGGAATAAATGCGTTGTCGGAATGTTGTAAACAGTGCCCATGGGTACAACATTCTGTAAATGAAGCTCCTGTTGTTGTGATCTTCAGATAAAATATACTGAAATTCAATTTTTTTTTTTAAATATATCTAAATAATACAGTCATTAATAAAAAAATTAATCAAAAATATGTATTTACAACATTATATATTATTATATATAACTATATTCTTTGTCGTACTAATAAAGACACACTGCACACTTTGTGTACTGTACAGCAAGAAATGGAAAGTAATCCATATATTTCACATATGCAATATTATAAATACGAAAGCGTATCTGTATGTTTGTTACCTTGTAATGACTAAACAGCTCAAAGGATCTTAATGAAATATAATGTATCACGAGGACAAACATTAATCTGAAAGGATGTGAAATATCGGATGAAAAATTATGAAATTATTTGTTACCTGCTTAACAAATAATTTCCAACACAATGTAGTAAATATTTAATTATTTCTGCTATTATTACTTAGCTACAAATTCAAAGATACACGTAAACAGTATTGACCTTTGACTGGTAAAGTAATTGTAAAAAAATATTGTATACCTACCTACTTCTTATGAATCTATAATTTTATTTACTGTTAAGTATCTTTGATTACAGATTTTGTAAATATAAGAACAGTATTTTACAATTGACTACTACTCATTTAATAATCTGTCTAAAGTATTAAGTATATGTTTTTTAATTTTGATATCAGAGTGAAGTCAATTTACATAAACAAATTTGAATTCGAAATTACTTTAAGGTTCATTACCATAATAAATATAAAAAAGTTATACATAGGCTTAGAAAGTAGAGTCCATCCTAATAGTCAAGCAGTTTGAATCTGGCATGTTTTCTTACTTATAAGAAAATAAATCGGAACAGCTTTCTCTCTCTAATAGCAGGAATACAAATATAAATATTTATGTGCTTGACCATTAGGACTAACGCTGAAATTTCGTTCTAAATTTATTGTTAATCATCTAGGGCTATCCATAAATTAGATTACACCAATTTATGTATATTTCCCTCCCCTGTATATTAATACATATTAATACAAAGTTTTGTTTGAATATTAAATTCTAAGATCTCCTCTAGAAGTATGGAAGGGGTTCATGGATTGTGTGATTTTTTACAATTTTTGATTTTTCTACAATCCCTTGTATTACAATGTCCCTCTTTGTCGATCTACACTCCTTAATAGATGGCGTAATTTATGCAAAGCCCACTATTACTGTAATCAGCTCACCTCCAATGGCCAAAGGTTGGACAAAGCCAAGTAAAGTGATATATACAGTGGAACTGTCTTCAATGTATTTATGGTGAAACCCATACAATCAACATATTTACTGTATGGCAAATGAAAATAATCATCAAATGTTCGATACCTATAGTAGGGTCCTGAAAATCAAATTTATATTGTTAGACATGAGAAGATTCTAATAAACATTGTTTAACTATGCATCCATTAATAAATTCCAATGTTATTTTGAATTTGGTCAATTTAGTATTATTTTCATATTATTATGGACTACAATTTAATTTATTAATTTTAGAATTTAAACTGTCCAAAGTATAAAGTAATAATTTGATTTGACATTACATATTTATAATATATTGTGTGGAATACCAGAAACTGTTAAAAAAGCTGAAATTGTAATGAAATTAATAGGAATAGATAAAATTAACAACAATAAACTATATACCATATAAAACAATAACAATAAAAAAAACTATGTATCTAATTGTACATCTTCCAAGTGGGCAGCTACCTTTTTTTGAAGTTATTTAAAACAAGGTCAACAATAATAAAGTGTTTGTATAATACAGATAAGAATAATATTATCAATCATTGTTGACATCCATACTGTACATTGTATACACTTTATCTTTATGATATTATGATAGTAATACATATTAGCAGGCAAGTTCACACTGATAACATGCCAATCAATACCTTATCTTGTACAAATACCAATAAAAAATACTTAACATTTTAAGATTTATACCATAAAAATCTTCTTTAGATACAACAACAGCCTCTTTTTTAGTTTAAGAAAAAATTGACTGTGATCTAATGTAATAACAAATATAAAAAATCTTTATGAACTCATAAAATAACTTTCTTCCTCACCTTGACTTACCTGTTAGCAATCCCACATAATTGAAAGAATAATGGAACAAGTCAATAAGTGAAGGATTTATTAATTCTAAAAACTCATCATCTTTTTCTTTAATATATTTTGAAGTTCCTATTTCATTTCCTTTTTCCTTGCCACTTTTCATTGCTAGCCAAGAGCCATTAATCTCAAATGCTACTCCAACTATTCGTAATACTAAGATCATTTCTATAAGGTTAGTTTGGCCTGAAGGTAAAGGCAGACCAAATTTGTTAGCAAGTCGGAAAAAGAAGAGATATCCAAACATGAAAAAGAATGATACTATATGACAATACCTGAAAATGGAAATTGTTTATGTTATTATTTAGTTCTACATTGAATATCATCTATAAAGTCAAAGAGAGAGAAGCTCCCAGCATGAAATGGATCTTTAAAAATTGCTTACAGAAAAATTTATAGTAAGTAATATTTCTTTTTAATTCTTATTTCAAATGACATTAATTTAAATTTACATAAGTTTTCACTTATTTTAAATCAAAACATTTGTATTACTATTTATTTTGAGTTAATTTGGAATGAAGTCTTTGTATCTAAGTTTCTGATAAGAGAAAAAAGGGTCCTTAGGAACATATATATTAAATAAACAAATTAATAATTTCAACGGTTATGTAGAAAACCTATGGGCATAATCGAACTGTACTTACTTCACAGTTGCCAATTTAATGGCTAGTATACCAACAACAGCTGATAAAAGAGGGTGAACAGCATTGTATCCTGATACAATGAGTATAAGCACAATACCAAGTAATGAACCAGTCCATTTTTTTAATACAATGGTACTCAGAGACCTGTAATATGGTCCTATAGCAACACTAGATAAAAGAAGCACTAAATAAATAATATCATTTAAATTTTTTGCGACAAAAGACAACATTTTTTATTGAAGTATTTTACACAATACACAAGATCAACACATATAAATTAATACACTACAATATTTAAACACTTCATTTTGTTCATAGAATATTATGCTCACAAATGTTCTTAAATTTATAGAATTTTTGTTATTAATAATATTAATTCAAATAAATACAAAATAAATAAAATTTATGTCGCTATCCGTAGAAATCAATATAAATGAAATGTTCATTTACTTATAATCTCTATTTTTTTTCTTGTTTATTCGCATGCAATGATTATCAATATAAATGATTGATTTCAATTTTTATAGTAACGGCTATGACAGTCGGCACATTAACGTTGACAAATATCTGAGTCTGAGCAGCAAGACTGGCAGCTGACACTGTGACTGATAAATGAATGACAGTATTCATTGTGAACGACGATCTTGTTTGATTTGATTTGTCATTTTTGACAGATGTATGACTACATCTGACAATATTGTATTGATTGATAGATAATACAGGTGAAAAATAAAAAATATTTGGAAGGAAATACGTGTAATAACCTTTTAAATGTTCAAAAATTTACTTCATGAATTTAATACTTCTAATGTACATAATTTAAAAATCATTCCACGATGAACGAGGAAGATAAGAAAAATATAATTCAAGACCTTAATTTAAGAATTGGAAGCGACATTAATGATTTATCTAATGCCAGTGAAATAGAAAATCAGCTAGTAGTGCGAAGGGATCAACTTCAAAGCTCTGTAAATATTTAACTAAACATTATATTAAATGTTTATAAACACTATTTAATTTCTGCAAACAGCAGGCAGTAAATAATACTTAATTAGAAAAAACAAACAATTACTTAAATTTAAAAAGTTCTGAAAATCTTAATGCTTAATATATTATATATACTTACATATAATATTTGCTTAATAAATAGATAAACTTTGGAAAGTAAAATTATCATGTGAGCACAATATTATATGGAAACTGAAATATAATTTAATTTTAGTTTAAACCAAAATTTGCATTTAAATTGTCTCCTACAATTTTTAAGTTTTTCCTATCTTCATATAATTATAATATAATATAATAAACCTCCATAGCAGTTATTAATAAAAAAAATTACAAATTCAGTTTTAATCTCTGAACGATATTAAATAGTAAAATGATGAGCAAACATAACTTAAATCAGTTTAAATGTGTGTAAATTTCATGACAAGTTTGTGCACAAATCTAACCCAAAACTAAACTGAATTTGCACATGATCTTCCTGATATGTAAAGTGTGTCTAGACAGTATTAAGTATGTTTTAATTCAAATAACTATGATTGATATGAGTGTACAGATATATAAATGCAAGAATACTAGATGTTGTACATTATTATATTGAATAACTCAAAAACTGACTCAGCTTCAAACTTTATGAACTTGTGTTTACAATTATCACATCTAACATATCCTCCTTTGTATTTCAGTTAAATTTAGCAAATAATTTGGTGCCCACGAAATTATCATCTGCACTAAAAAAAGCAGAAAAAAATTCAACTCAAATCAATAATCTTAAAAACAAAAGTGTAACATTGAAATCAAGAATAGAAAGCTTTTTAGAAAAGACAGAACCATTGAGGGATGGGCTGAACAAGAGATTCACAGCCATAAACAAATTAGAACAAACTCTAATTTATTTAAAATCTTTCGAAAAGATTGATGATATAAGGTAATGAAATTTTAAAATTAAAATTAACACAAAATTTTATATTTCAATGGTCTGTTGATCTTTTAAAATTGTCTGATTTGTTGATCTCGTCTTGAAGGCATGATTTGTTCTGTAATTTTTAATCATTCTTATATAATTATTCCCTTTAATAAATTTAAATTACAAATAATATGATAATTCACATATACTGCATGATAATTGAAGACAATTCAATGTTTATGAATAAGTTTAAATGCCAAACTTTTGTTTCTTTTGCTATGCTATGCTATGCTACAGTTTTAGAAAGTATTGGAGATTAATAATTACCATGACTAAATCATGTGTAATCCTACCATAATCTGCAAATACATCCTATGGAAAATATTATTTTTGGTGTTTATTTACAGCTTGGGCTTTGATTAACATTTGGTGCAAAATTAAATTTTATGTATGTTTCTCACAATTTGCTAAAACACAAAAAGTCAAAATATATAATATTCTCTATATATTATTGCAGTCGTCAAATGAAACAATGCAATGATGATGAACAGCTAGTCTTATGCTATGGAGAACTCAAAGAATTGTGTAACCAATACAAGGATGGCCACAGAGGTGTTTATGTCAGGGAATACACACATTACTGGCATAATATATTAAAAGACAAGCTTACCAAGTAAGTATCCTATTTAAGAGAACATGAACCATTTTGTAATAAACCTCAAATTATGATAACAATAACAATGGACAATTCACATAGGGCCATCCAGTTCAAAGCTTAGAAGTTGTGTTCTGGGGACTACAACTGGTATAAATACTTAGATATATACTCCCAGACCAATACAAATAATTACAGACTGATATTTTGATTTTATGTACATAATATTAAAAAATTGTCTGTGTGAATAAATTATATAGATTTGACTATGTTTTGTATTTCAGACATTATGAAGATGTATTGAAATTACTAAAATGGCCAATAACAACTGCAGATAACTCACCACCCCCTAAAGAAGTATTGGTTAAATTTAGCAATCTGACAAGATACCTATTTTTAATTGAAGAACCTGAGGGTTTGCATACTAACAGTATTTCAGAACTAGCTGAAGGTATATAGCATTAGGGGTATAATATTTATAATAATCTTATTTTAGTAGACTTACAACAATATTCCATAACAGATAGGACAGTCAGAGGCATTGTCAGCTGTCAATGTTGTGGTTAACCAACATTTGATATGCCCACATTTCACTAGGAAAATTTGAATCCAATGTGGCAGGAGGCAAGCCTACAGATGCCTCTCGGATTTATTTTTTGGATAGACATCGTATTTCCTTTGCAGCACACTCAGAAACATAAATTGATTCATAGGTTAGTTACATGTGTCAGCCAAATTTGAACTTATAAGTTCATGAGTAGTAAACATCCAGTTCATGACTCTCTCACAGTACAAAGTTTTAATATTTATAACTAAATATAAATAACAAAATTATTTTATCAATTACAGAGCAGGATCCATGTCTTCCTGTTAAAATATTATTACGGCCATTAAAAAAACGTTTTACATTCCATTTCACTGGCTCAAGACAAACAGCTAGGATTGATCGCCCAGAGTGGTTTCTCACTCAGACACTGGCATGGATAAAGGATCATCAAGGTTTTATTAAGAATAATGTACAGCCAGTTGTCGACAAATTGCAGTTGAAGAATGTTAAAACAGTTGTAAGTTCTAAAATATTTTCTATATTGATTCAGCACCCAAAGACATTTGACTCCATTCAGTCTTCTAAATCAGTGTTATAAAACAGCGAAGAACTATGGTACTTAAATTCTGTGCCTGTAAGCACTATTTCCGAATCATTAAATCAGAAACTTAATATTATATATCTGCAATAAAAAATTAATGACTAGTTACCCTTAGCTAATTCATTTTTTATTATAATGAGACTGAATACGCTTTATATTTTCATATAAAAATAAATGTATATTGTATGTAAATTCATACAGTGTTTACCAAAATTGTGAAGTAATGTAATTTTCGATAAACATGTATTGAAGTTTGTATTTGTTACTGGGTGCAGCAATAATATGATTGTATATTTCAGGATGAATTTAATGCAGGCCTCATATCATTAGCTGCAGAGAGACTTCATACTGTATTAGGATTGTATCATACACAACGAAAGAAAGGTGAACTAGTAGATGTGGACGCAGCCTTCGCTCATGCTGTGGACGAAACCTTAGGATTCCATAGAGAGTTTGTTACTGTAACAGGAAAGGATGGTAACAATGTACTCTCTGTTTTGACGAAAGCGGAAACTTTCGTTAGATGGCTGGCTGTTGAAAAGAAATGTGAGTAAATTTAATAAAATTAAATTAGTGTAGGTGCAAGTATTAATGATGATATACAGATAACTATTGCCTATACATATATACCAGGGTACCGTTTTGTATAATCTAGTGAGCCGATTTCTTTACTATATACATGGATAAGATACATACATAAAACATTTTTTCATTAGTGTTGGTAATTCTTATATGATATGTGTATAATGGCGGCTTGTCCCGACTTCGCTCGATGGACATGAAGAAATATTATTGTAATTTTTTTTTACTTTGATAAATCATTTTCTTGTAATAAATATCACGATATTTTATTCTATAAACTCAGGAACTAGTTTACTAATGTTTATTGCTTGCCTCAATAGGTGTAATTTAGTACTACTTAAGATATTGCATATTTGTCTCTGACCTCTGTATTAGAAATACTATAGCCATAGCATTGTATGACAGGGTCAGTATAGTTATTTTAACTTTGGGTTTCAGATGCTCTCGCAAAAATGGACGAGACTCTCGACAACGACCAGTGGTGCGAGCCAGTGGCGAGCGGTGTCACTTCAGCTGTTGGTACCGTACTGTGGGTGCCGCGAGGTGCAGACTGGTTCATAACACTATTGAAAACTATTGAAGATCGGTACGCCGTGTTGCCACAGCCTGGTCATAGGTGAGCTGTTAGGATTTTAGATTATAATTATACTTGAGCTTGAGAAAAAAATATGCGAATACAGGCCAACTGCAGTCAGCCAACAAAATGAATTAAAATTTTGACAGTTTTCAATTTATTACTTAGTTTTAATTGTTACATGTAACCAATTGTTTATTATTTACTTAAAATCGTAACGTAACACAGGCTCCAGTTCCTGGAGATGCAACTGGAGCTGGTGGAGGAGTGGCGCGTGCGTCTGACGCAGTTGCTGAGCGCGGCGGCGGAGTCTCTGGGTGTGGATTCCCTGTTAGCTACCGACGCTGCACCACTCGCCCTTACCGCCGTTGTTAACGCCGCGCACCATACACGCACCGTATTGCTGCAATGGGCGCACTCCTTGGTAACTAACAATTGTCTATAGACGCTTTTATAATTTACTAGCTACTCGCACCAGCTTTGCACGGGTGTATATCTATTATATGTATATAAACCTTCTTCTTAAATCATCAGTTTAAAATTATGACGAATGCTTTAAGTTACTTTATAAAATATTGACTTTTTAGCATTAACATAGGTATTATCAGACAGACAGACAGAGTCACTTTCACTTTCATAATATTAGTAAGGTATTTATTAAATAAACTGACCCAACAAAACCGGATAGCTTCAAATATGACGAATTTCCATCTGCTATTTTATTTTACCCCTTGAATGGTGACAATGTGATATTTACAAATTTAAATGTCATATTTATTAAATTTAATAAACAGTTTAAACATTTCTTTAAATTCTTTTGAAAATAGCCAATAACATAATAAAATATATAATATAGAAAAGATGTTGTTTTTTCCAAGGAAATGTTGTTGTATTGACCATTTTTAAAATGTTGTTTTACAAAATTATTAATAATATGTTCTTATGCCCAAGAGCAGGGTTATCAGTTATAGCTAATATATATGACATATGAGCGTTAATAAGTCGCATATCTAGTACAATATATTCAGAAATTAAAAATTTTTGAAAATAGACTTAATAACACAATTATAAAGTGGACTTTCCAAAATATCTAAACATTCAACCGCATAAAGATTTATGTCCTTCCTCGGCGAAACGAGACAGACAGACAGACAGACAGACAGAGAGACAGACAGACAGACAGACAGACAGAGTTACTTTCGCATTTATAATATTAGTAAGGATTGACTGTGGTATTATCAAACAAAACCGGATGAAATCGAATCTAAGATAGTAAACATTCCGTTTACCCATTTAAAATCACAAAAATCTTAATAATAACTCCTTATACATTATTTAGTAACGCCATCTAACAACATAGCGGAAACTGTTAACATTTTTATTTACTCAATTGTTCAGAGTGAAGTACACAAGTAGTCTTGTTTATCATAAAGACGACTCTCTTTTATAATGCTAATCAATTAATAGATAAATCTATAATCATAATATCAGCATCATTTGTAAATAATCGTTTATGATTGATACTAATTAGTTAATAATGCATCTTTACTACTATGTATGAACCCTTTTAATCCTAATTAGTATATGTCACATAACAAAATTATGGGAAATTATTTACAACAATGACATTTCGTTAAATGTTTAGCATTACCTGCAACTGCACTACTACCGGCGTCAGTTCCAACACTTCACACAGCAGCAGCACCGCGAAGAGAGCATTAAGTCGTCGTCCAGTTCCGAAGATGATGATGTCACCAAGAAATCGAAAGCTGGTAATTAAGAATTATACATTCTCAACAATGTTAGTTACGGCTTAAATAATGTACCCATTTAAAAAAATAAAAATATTTTATTGATTAAAATAAATAATTAAATATACCAACTGAGGTACTGTTAAATTATGTAATATTTATATGGTGCAGTCATTTCTTGATGGCTATTTCTACTCAACTAACTATGAATATATGTACATATAGTCTGTATGTTAAATACAGAGTTATTTTTTTAATTATTTATTTGTTATCGTAATATTCTTTAAGGCCAAAGATAAATGCTAATGGCCTAAGACTTAGTAGTTACGTATTTTCAGAAGGCGAATCTGATGAGGCTATGTCCTTAAAAGAAGTAGAAGAACGCGCTAAAACATTAGCACTTAATGCAGTTTCAAGAAGGAATTCCTTAGTTACGGATATTAGTAAATTTGAACTTGTAAGTAGCTACTTTCATTTATGCCTAATTAATTACCATTTACATACTACTACCATTTGGTCTTACGTTTCAAAGGAATGTATGAGATATATCTTTTATGGCTTACATAATTTGGAACATTTAACAATATGCATGTAACTCAGAGAGAGTTTTTTCTTTGAGTTAGACTTTTAAGTCCTGATTTCAAACCTGACTGAATAAAAATGAGTTAATTTATTTTTTTACTGACTAGTGATGAAACTATATATCATTCGTATATATATATCAGTTAACTCATTCTGACAAATTTATTAGGATATCCTAGTAAATTTGTTAATGATCTAACTGATCTGACTGCATGATTATCTTATCATCCTCCACTACTGCCCCATCAACATATACTTGCATGGTTAATTAAATTTAACACGAATTTAGCATATTGGCCTAACTGACCTGATTTCATCCTCGTTTCGTCATCCTTCACTGCTGCACCGCCTTTAAATAATAATAATGATATCAGGACAATTCACACAGCCTCACCTAAACTCAATTTAAGCTAGCTAAAGCTTGTGTTATGGGCACTAGATAACTGATACAAATACATACATATATTGTTTTTCGCAAATATATACATATTATACAAAAAACACAAACAGACCGATAAATCGTCCAAACAATATATACATATTTGTACCGTGCGAGGAATCGAACCCACGACCATCGGAAATAAGGCAGTGTTAGTATACTGCCTTACTTCCGATGGTCGTGGGTTTGTACCACTAGACCACCGAGGTCAATTAATAATAATAATAAACGGTTAATTAATACAGATGCATTATTTCATTATCATCCACTAAAAGAAGTGTGTTACATTTACCACAATAGTTAACAATACCTCTGACTACATTACAGTTAATGTAGTCAGAGATATTGACACTTGCAATGTTGCAATGGTTATATATTGTGGTGTTCAGGTTGCCCCGCTCGCCAACTTGTCGGTAACGGAGCCTCTGTGGAACCCTGCCGTGGATGGCAGCGCGTCTGGAGCTGAAGAGGCGGGCGTATTCTCGGAGGCTCCCACGCTGCTCGCCCACCTGCGAGACGCGGGCCTTGCTGCGATCATCGACCACATTCTATTCGAGTTCAGAGCTTCTCTACGGGACTACAAGAAACAGAAGTATACTTACATCTTAATTCATGAAATATCAATAACTTCATTTATATTCTGGTATATTTATCCTGGTGTATTAATTACGCGTGGATGATGGTGGAGAGATGACGCTTTAAAAACAAACAGCTATACAATTAAAGTAAAATTAACCTACCTTAATAAGTCGTGACAGTTGGGGATTTTTATTTATTTATTTATAATGTACCAAGCACTCAAGAATTACACAGATCACAGCAATCTCTTCCATACAACTTTTGGGTAGAGAAAAAACAACAAAAATGGTAGGTGGCGTATGAATAGCATAGAATAAAATATATACAAAATGTTTTAGAATAAAAAAATTTAAATAAAATTATTATTACTATATGTCACGTGCCGTGCACGTGTCAACGAGGACAACAGGAAAGGGGAATTAAGTGGAGAGATAACGGGATTTAACCGAGTTCTTAAAAAGTCTAATGTTTTTAATGTGTGATAAGATGGCACGCGTGGATGATGGTGGAGGAGATGGCGCTGTCGGTGTCTGCGTCACTGTGCCGGCCGCTGTCGGCGCTGCTGGCGCGGGTCGCCGCCGCCCACCAGCGACTGGCGCCACCGCTCGCCAGGCGCATGCGCGCCGCACTCGCTCATCACGTCGACCAGTACATCTTTGAGGTGCGATCTTCCTATACTAACACTATAAGGCTAAATGCTTTGTTTAAATAATAATATTCTGGAAAATTGTAGCTGTAAATAATGTGTAATCGGATTGAAAACGTGTTGCATAATCGGAAAAAATGTATCCATTTTGAGCGCTTTCGTTGCTTTACTCTCCAATCTCAAACCTGTCCTGTCTCTCTCTATTATATGACGCTGAGTAGAACTATAGTATAAGAATACTTACTACAAATCTAAGATTTGCTAACATCGGCGTTGGCGCTGAATACGGACTGATTATATTTACATGCAGTATATAATGATGGCTAGTTTTTCATATAAATGATACGGAATTTTTTTATGTTTTTGTTGACGTATGAACCTCTACTATCACCTATTTGTAGAAAAGCTTAGAGAAGAAACAATGTGGTGAGGTGAATACATGATATCTACTGAACACTGCTTTTATCACTACATTAATATTCCGTAATTTACTTCCAGGAAGTTGTATTGCAGAATTGGTTCAATACGGGAGGAACAGTACAATTTACGCACGATGTTAAAAGAAATTTAGTGCCAGCTTTTACACTTCCATATAAAGTTTCTTCTCAAATGATCCAATTGCCAAGGTAAGTACATTATAATTATATCTTTTACAGGAAATACACATTTATATGTTGAAAATACCTGAATTTAAAAGTAAGTTAACATTATGCTAGGTTCATGAGTTATTTTAACCTTTTAGCAAAAAAAAAAAGATCCCTACATAATTTCACTCGTATACAGACAGGTGGTCGCTAGATAGTATTTTGTAGACTTATAATTGCTATACATAATATATATATATATATATTCTATTTCCTATTACGTTACAGATTATTAGAATCGTGTAAACTTCTAAATATGGACTACGACGACGCGCGGCGATTACGTGCCTCTCTATCCAAACAACCGAACCTCGCTGTGGAGAACTTGTCAACCCATGGGATCCGCCACGTGCAGCCCAATGAAGCGCTACAAATACTGAGCCAAAGAACCGACCTTAATGAGTCCAGTTCACCATCCTCGGTTATGGAACTTTTCTGAAATTTCGAAGGAGGAGGCATCTAAGGTGTGTAAAGTAATGGGATATGAACACACTGTTAAATTTCCAGTTATATTATCTAACAATGAGCCTAAATCTTCCAATACTTAGGTCGGCGAATTCAATAGCTATGACGGGGCGCCTATTAAACTGTAATGTATTTATATGAGTAATGTAACCAACTATAAAAATCGTGTTATAAATATTTCGGTTATATATATATAATTATGATTTCTCGATAATATAATTGGATCTACAAAAGATAGGTTTGATAATTATTATTTTGTAATACAAGTAATAGCATTATTTTGCCCAAGTTGCACACTATATTCTCTCCATATTTTACTGATTAACTAACTCTATCCAATTAATTAAAACATCATGTTTTAGTATAAGGAATAATAAAAATATGTAAAATGTATATATTAGATTGAAATTAAAAAATCAGTAATACTATTATAACATGCTTTTACATTAAAAGTCGAAACCAACCTTTTTGGAGGTACAGAATTTGATTTATATTATTATATATATATAATGTATTAAGTAAGTTCTAGAATGTGGAACACAAAATTCTATATTTACCTATATACGTAATGTTATGTGACATTATAAATCAAACTGTACTTTTAAAGCATAGCAATACTTATTGAGGTACTTGTCTTGTATTTATTATTACATCCTATACATTGCTCACAATTGAAGTCATTTAGTGTATACCCCTACGTCTATACATTACAAACTTTGTCAACTCTACATTATTACCTAATAAGTCATTCAGAATATTCCAAATATTTTTAACCACCTGAACTAATATATAAATTGGTAACCTCATAAAGTTAATATTTACAAATAAGACAGACTGAATGTACTTCGCCCTCATGTATTGTACATAGTTGATATTGGAATATGGTTGTATTATTATTATATATTTTGTAGATTTTTCAATCCATGATGTCATGCGGATACACATATAGAAGATAATGTTGCATTTTTCTAGTACATTGTGTCGCTTTAACATAATTAGAAAAATTACATTGGCTTAAACTGCTTCATATTAATCGTAGTACCTATGCTATTCTAAATTATCTTAGAAAATACTCATTTAATTTTATTTACATAGTAGAATAACCATATTACATTGCTTTAAACTTTTTTTACGGTTGTTTATCATTTTACCGTGATAATAGTGCATAAATAATGTTGTCATTAAGTATATCTCGTGTAAATAATGTGTATATTAGTAGGTACATTGTGTTATTAATTTATCCAAAGATTTACAAATTATATAAAGTTAGAGTTTACCAGAGGTAGAGACTGTACAGTCTTTGGAGATACCGTCTTATCTATTTCATCCGCCAAGTAGCTTACTTTGTAAGCTGTTTTCGGTTGGGGGATGATAAGAGTAAATGTGAAAATACAAAAAGGTGATAAGAGTGAAATTACAAGATACTGAGAGTTATGAGTGATGACCATTCATGCTGCTCATGTGTAATTAGACTTAATGGATTGAATTATCTTCAGAATTAAAATAGTCTTTTAGCAAAAATTTTGTTCCTGTACCACCCGACTTAGCAACGCTTTCCCGTTAGTAGTTGTAATCAGCCGGCTTATTGGACCTTAGTAATGATTCATATCAAATTGCTATTTTAACATATCTGTAGAAATATAACTGGTAATCGTCAGTGCTTGTATCAGATTTGATTGCATGCACGTCACGCTGTCATTTTTTTGTGAAAGCGTGGCGTGCGTTTGGTAGTGATTGCTAAAGAAACAGTGTAGGCCTCCTCCTTTATGAGAATATTGCTGATATCTTACATCTATCACGTATATGGACGATCAATATCGCTATGATATAAATATGTTTTCTTTTGTATATGTCTAGTATTTTAGTAGTGCTAATTAAATTATATAGTAATTTAATATTTTGTATATGCGTTTTGTATTTTTTACAATTGTTACTTTTAAGCTTTCGTCTCTAGTACTCATTTTTCTAATTAATAGTTTGTTAGATCTTGAACGAATTATTTAATGGTAAATTGGTAGCACACTCGATGTTTAAAATAGATTCCACTAGCTGTGGTCATAAGCAGCTAAGTATGGCAGTTCCCGCCCGCGCACTTATTTTATTGTGTGTGAGATAGTGTGAGTAATAGTGATTACCTAGCAAGTAATGATATTAATTTATAATGTATCCGTGACATCTACTATTAATATAAACAAGATATTTCTGCGTAGTGTACATTTATGTTACGACAATTTAATATTAGCATTATTGTACGTTTATTTATTAAGTCAGTTACTATAGTAAATGTCATTATTTTAATAATTAAGTATGACCCAAAAAAATTGCAACAATGTTGTATTGTGGTCGATCCTTTTACATTTCGTTGTAAAAATTCTGTCAAAAATTTTGACAATTTTTTTTATACTTATATAAATTTTGTCGAAGATATAAGTATTTTAAATGCATATCGTCTTAGCCACCATAGCGTAACTTCAACTCACAAGTACGGGTCAAATACTTGTATAGTAATATTATGAATGTAAATTTTTGTTTGTTACTTATAATATTTTTAAGATCGACCAAATTTTTAAATAAATGAGCATAGCGCTACTTTACGGTTACGGTCGCCTCCATAAAGGCGAGAATAAAATCTAGTCTGTGTGTTATATTATTTATTGTAATCCAATAATTAAAATAATATATAGTAGCTGTTTCACACTTTGCCGATGTCATATTTTAAGCATTTTAATAGATAATGAATAGCAGATTGATTTAATAATATTTATAAGTAATGAAAACACAGATATATGAAATAAATAAAATAGTGGTATATTTTATACCACTATTTTACTACTAAGGTTCTTATTTCAATATGGCACAAAATTTTTTTATTCCACAAATTATAAACACTGTTTGAAACTTTTTGTAACCAAATTATGAATTCGATTAAATCGTGTTCAAGTATACCATTTTACATATTTTTTTATAATTTATAAGTATACCTCTGATGTATATAGAAATAAGCCTATAGCGAAACATGCGTATGCGCAATAATAAAATGCAGTCACTGAAAAAAAAACAAAATGCAATTTATTCTAAAAAGTGTTGTATGTCAAGCAAAGCTGATTTAATGTACATTAAATGTTACAATTTAATAGTACCGTAACGGTTCTAATTTATATTATAATCAAACAAATTATCTATTTAATCTATTCATGTATATTTAATGTAAACAAAAAAAAATGTGTAACTATGTACCTAATATATTTATTGTTATACTGAATGCGTTGTATAATTAATAACGAAAACAAAATATATATAAAAATGTTTATATTCAACAAAAATACGGTATTGTACAAAATTATAACTTATTATCTCAGACAACATAAGGTTGACAATGCAACACACATCGCTTTTAAATTATATACATACATGCTTTTAATGTAATCATAAGTTAAAGCAATAAGTATAAAATGAAGAGTTACACCTGATGTTTTTTCAGCGTGCTATCTATATTTTAAATTATTTCCAAATTATAGCATTTCTTTGTATTTGTGTGTCACGAGCAAGACCAAGACACCGGAAGTGACATTTGTCACCAGAATTGTCATTTGTTTCAGCCCTTAGTCTTATACATCAACTGCGATTCATGGACTATATCTGACCCTTAGTTTAAATTCGCAGCAATCTAACAAATCGTCAGTGTTACAACATATGTATATTGCAAACATTATTATATTAATAAAGAAGCGTTTGTCATTGTATCTTACCTAACAGTACACTCCATAGATTTTACAAATGGCACTAGTGTACTACAAATTGATAATGGCTACGAAAGAATACACATGCACGCTTTGATATCTATGACGTTTCTTTATATAAAAATATCTAATAATACAAAATTTTAATTACGGAAAAATAATTTCCACAAAAATAAAAATAAAATGAAATAATGTATTCACGTAGCACTATCTAGTCTCAGACTTGATTAGTTTGAGGTTAGAAGTCATTGTAGCTTATGGGTACTATGAGTACGGCACAGATGATGACATGAACATGATGATAGAAGTATTTAATGATTTTTTCTTCTGTAAATACGTATAAAACAATCATACACGTGTCGTGAACATCAAATTTACGTATAGTGTGGAATCTGAACTTATTTTGGTAGGATGTATCAAACGTATATATATTTATAAGCTATATTGTGTTCTTACAAAAGTAGCAATACGAGGTTATAAAGTATCACAATTTCCAATCATTGCTACATACTTGTAATGCATTTGCTTCGTCGAAATCTTTTGTTATAATTTATTACAGTAATGCGACACAATAACGCCACTGTGCTTTATAATATTCCATTGAATTTGACAAAAAAAAAATACATTTACATAACAAAGGATTTTTTTTGTAATATCTAAAAAAATATAATTAGGTAATATTGAACGGTCGATCGAGTCCGGCTTTATTCGACCTGTCAATAGGGAATTACATACATCTGTCACTCTACTGCAGTGTCACGACTACAATGCCTGCATGCTTCTAATAATTCACTATCGCATCAAGGACGTGCATGTGAATCTCCTATACAATACTATGATAACATCTAAACAACAATGTCGTTCATATTATTCATTACTTGTTTTATTTCACAATATAACTTTATGAATCACGTTTCGTCTATAATCTCGACACAATCGTATACATACTTTCAGTCATAGAATCAATACAATGATATGTAATAATTTATAATACTAAGGAAAACTAATCCAATAAATAAACATTGAAAATCATACTGATTTATCGACAGTGAAAATATTGTATCTAACTATATCTAATAATTAAATTAAATAGGTAATACAGTTTACATTTAAAAAATGCTTACATTTAAAATTCGAATTACTAAATTACTATCACATAGCACTGGCAGCGGATTCAAAGATTCGCCAATATTTTAAATTTAACTAATTAAAAAAAATATTCTTCGAATACTAAATTTGTACGTTGCGTTTTAATATTTGTTACTCTCATGGGAGTATTATTACAGTATAATGTTTTCTAATTACATTGTTACTTTTCTTCAACTATTCTAATGTTTTTGTAGCTGCACCGGACGAAAATTAGGGCGAGTGCAGAGAGTACTCCAACCCCGCGAAAGGACTTACAAAGCGGCTAAAGGCTAATTTCTGCCTCCAGGCAGAATCCGAAATAACACTGCTACTTTAAAGTCAAAACAATAGTTCCCATCTGATATTTCTACAATTTAACTTCTGCGTTCACGGATCGATCGTTGACGATTTCTGCTTCGTGATGCTTGCTGGGGTCCTGCGTAGTACTATTCCACCACTGCTCATCACCAGATGCCCAAGCCACGAACACCAGGTTTGTTATAATAAAGACGGCGAGCGCTATCCAGAAGACTAATCGCCATTGCACTAATGTGCTCTGAAATATAAAATTCTACTTCAGTTTTCCCAATTTTACAATATTAAGGTACGCATTACTCTATTAATGTCAGAACAACCCCTATAACCCGGGGCATCCCTAGTATCTACCGTAATTAATGACTTCATTCCCATATTACCATCTTCCACTGATGCCCTACGAGCGTAAACGTCAAATATATTAATACTTACTATACTATCTCAGTATTCATTACCACTACGTTACAATTATTTATTTAATCGATACGATTGACACAGCCTTATTCGGCTTATTCCAAGATAAGCAGAAGTTCTACTATGGGCATCAATCAATCAATATTCTCATATTATTATTTTTTTCGTAATATACATACGAATAATACCTAGACCAATACAATCATATTCATAAATACAAATGATTGTATCGTGCGAGAATCGGAAAGTCCAAAACAAAACAATTACGTATAGCGAAAGACGAAAATATAGTAACTTCATTACATTCCCGTACAAAGTAAATATAAAAATATGACGTTAGATATATACTTACATCAGGTGTTAATAATCCGACGAGATACGGTGCTATGATGCCCGTGATAGCTCCAATGCCATTGACTATAGCCATTATGGTGCCAGCGTAGTTGCTGCTTAAGTCGAGTGCGTTAACCTTCATCCCAGGATAGAATGCACCCATCAACCCCATGGATGCGGTGAATAGGATCACCACGGTTTCAGTGTTGCAACCAGAATATGACGCTAGGATCATGCATATACCGGGCCCGACGGAGGCTATAAAAACATTTTTTATCAAGTTATAATTATAGTATGGAAACTATTATAGATTCTATTTCGGTAACTTCTATAGAATGAATTCACTGTTGTACCTATATCTATCAACTGTACTGAAAATCATCAGATAAATTGCTCATGCTAGTATAAATCGCCATGTTTTCATAACATGGCGATTTATACTAGCATAGAAACATTAGACAATATGCAGCATCCTTAAATTCGTTTTAGGGATAGTTAGAAATCTCCACATATTTGAATTTATATAATTCATATATGTGGAGATTTCTTATTACAATTCTTACTACAAGTACGTATCTATATATCCGCCCTAAAAACGTATATAGTTAGCCACGAGCCAACTGATCTCACTTCAACCTAATACATAGGTAGTTACTATAAATGTTATATGGTAACCCGATTATAAATAATAATAAATAATACATATGAATATTAATTCATATCTATATAAAATTGTAAAATCCCTACTGTTTACCTATAAAATATAATCCCTACTTGGGTAGGTGTGGTACATCTATAGTATAATGAGTAAACCTATTAAAGTTTTACATTACTTTCACTAACTTTGAGCGTGTGTGTAAGTCATCATTTTCTCTCAACCAATATTAAAATGACATGTATAGTCGATAAATGGCTCACGTTTTTTATCAAATTGGAATGATAAACAATCTGACGGCCACATTGAGAAATGGTAACCGTCGCCTACATAATGTATACACACAGAACCACGGACATCACATTATCATGTACCACTTGCATTGCCATTCCGAAGAACTAAGATATCATGCCTCTTATTCTGTAATTTCACTGCTTTTACCCACCAACCCAAACACAGCTTACAATGAAAGGTGATTGACAACCAAATTAGATGAAACTGTTAACCACACAGACGAAAAACGGTTTTATAAAGTCTACCTCAGTGGTTTTTGTCCTTATTTACTTACCAACTGTAGTGAAAGTCTTCCTAGCATTAGTGACCGTCAACCAGTTCCTCTTCACCATCTTATCGCACATCCATCCAAATATAATGGAACTAATCCACATAACGGCATATGGTAAAGCGGCTAATGTACCAGTCCTATGTATATCAAATTTTAGCACTCCGGTCATGTATTTTGGAAGATCCGTAACCATTGTAAAATATCCATAATCGTGGCCAATCTATTAGCAGATAAAAAACAACTTAAGTCACGTCATGTTCCATTGAATTTTTATAGGTGTTTATTAAATTTGCTTAAGCATATGAACTTGTAAACAAACTATACTATTTGTACAACTAACTAAAGATATATGGGCGTGTAACTATGGAGTAAGTAATAATTGATTATCTTAATAAATAAATTATAAAATAAATAAGATCATAACAATTCCATTGAAAACGGCTCTATACCTATGTCAATATCTCGAGTTAAGTTTTTATAAACAGCGCACATATGACATGAATTGAAAAACAATTTAAGGGGAAAAATAAATACCTAAATTCTTTTGACTTATACTGATTTAAAATAAAAATACTCGACTTACCTGAGCACATACTAAGGCCCACAATGGCACAGACGTGAAAATTGCTTTCCAAGGTATAGCAGATGGTTGACTACTTCGATGTCTCCCTAACGCTTCTTCTAAATATTTCTTTTCCCTATCACAGATAAATGGGTGAGATTCCGGATCATTGTAACACAACAACGCCTGCAAACATCACATCAAAGTTATTAATACGGACAGTTTTTACATATATTTTTAGGAGGGATATAAGTATAATATATCCACCTAAAACCTAGATATTATTATTAGGTACAATAGTGCGCATTCAGTTGAGACGGAATTCAATTTTTTCTTAACTTTCAACAAAAACTCAAGTTACGGAACCAGATATAATCGGTCTGTATTATAACTAGATTGATATCAAAAAAATCAAGGTTTCATAATTTCAAATGTCTTAAAAATAACAAGATATAATTTAAGATTTATTCTAATAAAATTCACTTGAACTAGGAATAAACTGAATAACGAACCATCCGAATTAGTATAGATCTGCGAATGTATTTTAATAGAAATAGAAATAATCTTTATTCAAATAAACTCATTAGAAGCACTTTTGAATAGTCATATTTTGATTCTACCACTCATTCGGAATGCAGATTCATCACAAGAAGAATGAGCAAGAAACATGAATTTTAAAATATACATAAAAAAAATCTTACGAGTCTTGTATGGTCATCGATTAAACTAGGGACATAATCAGATCGCAATCGATACGGGATTAATCAAAATATACTAGGAATATATGGTACTACAGTAGCTAAGAATAACTATGGACCGAAACCGAGACAGCGTGAATCCTCGCTGTGTTTCGGTTGAAAGTTAAGATATGGCAGTCTAATGGCAAGATAGAGAGCCAGCACATCTAAGTCTTTTCGAATGGCACCGCATGAGCCAGCCACGGGCGCCACATTAAGACGTTACGTCCGTGGTTCATAACAATCAATTGGACCAGCAGCTACCTTGTCAGTCAAACGCTAAAATAAATATACTTACCCATAATATAAACCAGAGAATACCAATAGAGCCAAAGAGATAAAATACAGAGTGCCAATCTCCTGTCTCCGTCATCACCAGCCCTGAGAGGTAAGTGCCAGCGATATTCCCTATTTGTGCACCGCCAAACACTAGCGATCCCATTCGTCCTCTTTCTGATACTGGTGCCCAACGTGCTAACATTGCGTTTAAAGCTGGGAACGTGGTGCCCTGTAGAGAAAACAAATATTTATTGATTAAAAAAGAAATATTATTCTATCTACAATATAGGTCTATTAGTAGATACCAATAGACCTATATTGTCAGAATAATAGAAAACTAGAGTAAGAAATTGAGAGTGCTAGCTAGTCTATTTGATTAGTTAAATTAATTTCCTATGAACAGTATTATTTTTTTTATTGTGATATGGCTATTGTATATGTAGGTGCGTAGACTGGACTTCGCAATGGCTGCACCCTTTAAGTAACCGTCGACGCCCTTGATGAATATCAAGACATTGATGGTAAATATTACGAATTGGGAATTAATTACTATATCGGAAGCGTCTATGCCATTTCAACTGTATAACCTCATAACATACGATCACGATTGTTATTGCATAATCGATGTTATACGATTTAAATCCAACGCGGCGGCGGGCGAATCTACCACTGTTCTCAGATTAGTTTTGGAGATCCATGACCGGAGATTTAGTCAAAAATATCAATTGACACTAAGTTCTTTTTTTATGCCGGCCAAACTAGAACTGTAGGCATGATACTCTCATAAACATTATGTATGTTGTAAATTTTATAATAACATTAAACGTATTAATGGTAAATGAATAGCAAATAGAAGTTAGTATAATTCATATATTACCTCTCCAAGTCCCTCTAACACCCTCAAAATAATTAGGCCGGTAGCTCCTCCAACGTTGACCGCCCAAGGGGTCAAAAGAGTGAATACTGCAGTACTTAAAACTCCAAAACCAAGAGAATATTTCCCTCCAAATCTCTCAGCTAGCATACCTCCAGGAAGATGAGTTACTATGTAGCCGTAGTAGAAGGCACTCAAAATAATACCTTGGGTTTCCTCGTCCCATTCGAATCCATTTATTTCCTGTAGAACAAAGTCAAAAATATGTAATTTGATAACATATTGCATTCAATAATACAAAGTAGGAAATAAAAGAGCTAATAATGACACCATTCACAGATTTAATATACATATTGAAATAGTCTGTATTAACACTTTATAAAAATACAAAAACAAATATAGTCGGAATGGTTTCACTTATTTGCTAAAACTGTGATCATAAATTAAGTAGATACCCATGTAATGTACAAAACATAATTGTATGTAAATATGCAGAACAATTAAATAATATCAGCGATAATTACTTAACTACACGAACTAAAAAAACGTCCTGCCATGTTACTTGTATTGTGCAAGGCAATGGAGTACATGGAACCTACTCTTGAGGATGTACTGTTTTAAAACTATTATAAGCTTCATAAACTTACTGTAGGATCCGTAATAACTTCGTCTATATCTCCAGGACAAGAACCATCATCAACGCCAGCTGCATGAGGTCGCCTGTGCACCATCTGAGTTATGGCAATGTTGAGGCAAACTCGCATCGTATACGCGTTCGCTACAGCCAGAAACCCCATGATGGCCATGACCCATCTTTGGGGAATTATAAATACTGTAACAAAGACAAAGTAGTAATGCAAATCTTTAAAATATGTTACTAACTAGGCTAAATTCAAATTAAAAATATTTCCTTGAACGATACTTTCCTAAAACACCTAGTGAAAGTCGTAGGATATAGCTAATATAGTAATATAGCCTATTCCCCAAAGTTGGGGTACATTTTGTGGTTTATAAAATATCCCGCAACTCAGTGTTCATTTTAGCACAAGTCCCCTCTAGCTCTTTCCATTGAACTCTGTCTTCTGCAATCTTATTCCAGAACTATCCTAGAGTCAGTTTATATGTGTTATATGTCTTTTTAGCGAATATAGTTAAGTGATAATAAAAGTGAGTTAAGCTCTATATTTGATCTCCAGAATATATTACGCCATGTAAAAAGAAAAAAAAAAGACGGGTTATACGTTTGTTTAGTGGTTCTTGTAATACCGACTATACCTAAATACTATATTACCTCTGATGATTTTGTGTAGGTAGGTATCAATATAATTAAAAAATCATTATTAAATATGTCATTCTCTATTATAAGAATGTAAAAAAGTAATGACATAATACCTAATTAATAGATTCGAAAGTGGTCCAATACATGTAATTTGTACATCCATTATTTAATGTCATTATTGCAAATTATTGGGGAATTTTATATTTGCATAATCTATTGCAGTAATATAAGATATAACTCGCAGTTTGTTATTAGACATTAGTGGTGCCCACGACTTCATACGAATGTTTATATGTAGGTCGATCTATATTCTATTAATAATAATAATCGTGACAACAATAAACAAAGCATATTTATGTGGGTGGCGTATATTGAACACTTTTCTAAATGTATTTATTTCCCCCTTTCGTTACATAGTATATTTATCAACATTCATTAGAGTATACCTATGTTAACCCATATTTACTAAAAATATTCTATGGAATTGTCCTTAAATTTAACAAACAAGTAATTTTTGCCTCTTTACAATTCTACGATTTTATTACATGTACTGATAATATAGAATATAATAGAAGAAAATCAATAAATTATTATACCTATGTATGTAAGGAAACTTAAAGAAAATATATAAAGATGACACTTTAAAAGAATATAAAAATCCAAATATGGGATGGGAAAGACTGATTCACTTCCAAAGTCTCGTACGTAGGTAACAGCTGAATCCTCTGACATCATCATCATCTGCTTCTTCCTTATCCCATTTATTTGGGGTCGGCGTAAGATGTTTTTCGCTTCCATTCATGCCTGTTCGCATCATGAATCCTCTGACAATTATAAAAAAAACTATATATATAAGAATGAATGTCTACTATCTTTGGTCATGCTATAGCATGAAACTCAAAGACACGTTTTTATATTTCACTTCTTAATGCTTTATAGAAGGTTCTTACGGAACATAGAATTAAGAAATTTGCAATGAAAATTAAACGCTTCACAGTTAGTAAAGTAGATAATTCGGGCAAGGTCAAAGACAAAATCTGCTAGTCTTAAATAATTCTGAATGTTGGAAAATAATTCAGGACTATAAAATGTGTTCTGATAGTAGACGAAGCCTGAACCGAAGGCCGTTGAATTTTTGCCTACACCACAGTTACAAAACAGGGGAAGGAAGAGACAATTGTTCTATTCATAGATCTACATAAATGTATGCAGTCTATTCGTAGTAAAGTAACATAATCAACCCTTCAAATTAAAAACTCGTATGTCAGGATAATTGCACCAATTCCGTTTCATACAATGCACAGATGACACATGCATGAGATATTCTGACGCAATGAATATCTGAAAGGACGGTATTTGTGTACGATCATCGTTTTTTATGTCGCATTGCTGTGCGACCAGCCGTGGAAGAACTGGGCGTGCATACATTGAACTACGACCGCTTCGGAGAGACATGTAGCTAAACAAATATAACTGATTTCTGTTTCCTTAATCATTTATTACTTGCTAAAACATACTCCATGCGACTATATTAGCATATTACTACATAGCCCATATTACTATCTGATAATGTACTGTTCAACAATCTTTATAATATTAGTTTAGATGCTAATTAAGATGATGATATAAAAGAAATATGACTATAGTTATTATGTCATTAAATTTAGAAATATATCGAATTAAGGCTACTGATTGATCGGTGCTTAGATATCTATAATATATATATTACCTATCCATAATTCAGTTCACAAACAGTAAAGTATACTTTTGTACACTTATATTATGTTACTTCTTATAATAACTCTTCTCATAGAATAGGCTGGTACTAAGTATACTTTCAACTCAATGTTTGAAATCTTTTCAAAATTTTAATGTAGCTACTTCATGTAGGTACGATGCAATAGTCCCTAGCGATGTCAGGAACTTACTGGTCATTACACTCATAAAAATAAGTAGTACCCTAATATATTCATATGACAGTTAATTTACAGTTACCATTCACGTCACATATGAAGAGGTGTACCTACCTTCCTACGCAGTATCAAAATAGAAAACCATTGTTCTTTATAATAAAAATACATAACCGTTGTTAGTGGTTCATAATTCCCGTGGGAATACTAACAACGGAAAATATTTAGTGGATGTTTACGTGATAACAAAACTCTACTAATCAATTTTAATTTCTTTATGTCAGATGTATAAATATATACCAGTATACAATAGAGAAGCATTAATTTTTCTATTTGTTCTCAGACGTTACATTACCTATATTTTTGACGATTAGATTTAGTTAATCGAGTCATAATGGGAATAAAAAGTAACTTTTATCTATTGAACGTTATAAATAATAGCCTTTATCTTTTATCATTCGTAATAGTAATATTGGAATATGAATTGGTAATAAGACCAATATTGTGGACCAAAATCTAGCATAAAAGGGCAGAATATCCTACTTTGCCTTAAGGAATTAAATGCGCTATTCATGATATTTATAATTTTTCTGCTGGGACTATTACTAATTTGATAATTTTAACCTACACAAAGATCGAATGTATTATTGGAACAGAATTATTAGACTATGAGCTAACATCGACTAGTTACAAGTAGAAATCGAAACTAAAATCGAAACTACTAGTAGATAGGTAGGTACTAACAAGGTATAGGTAGAATTTCACTTGACATTGAAAATGTAATTTTACTTAAGTATCTATTTAATTAACAATGTACCTTCTATTGACACACTAATTGTTAATTGACACTAAATGCCGTCTGGCATCTGACTAGAATATTTACACTCAAGACGACACGCGCTTTCCAAATACACAGATTTTCCAAAGCGTTTTCTCCGCAAAAGTTGTCTAGCTGATGTTCGAAGTTTGAGACGAGACAATGGACCATTCGCCGCTATATGTATTTATTATGCGTCATCGATATACAAAAAGATTTGATGATATCTGTTCCTTGGCATACAAAACGACAACTGACCGTTATTGCTCCCATTTAGTGGGTTCACAATAAGATAATTATTAAAACTATTGAATTGAAAAAAATACTAAACTGTGTCACATAGATATATACTAATATAACAATAGCATATCTTTCGGTTTATAATTTTGATAGTCCCACTGATCCAAAATACCTATTGTTTTACCATTTTATATGACTTTTTACTAATGTTTGCATTAAAGACATTCCGGTGAACTTCGTTTAATGAATTTAAATTATCTTAATTATATATGTGTTCTTTACTATATTGTGTATGTCTTTACTTTAATGTATTTTACAAATAAAGTATATTAAAGTCAAGTGAAGTAAAAAAAACCAGATAAAATTCATATGTATTCTTTATATTTAGTGATTAAACACTAAATATAAAGAATTTATAGCATAACAAGATGTATATGTTGATAGATATGTTGAACAAAAATTAAGAATATACATATATAAATTATTAAGCAAGTTATTTATTACTTAAAAATCTTCCTACTTGTTTATTGACTCATGATATTCTTCTAACCAAACAATCATCGTTATAAATCAAATGAGACCAAATATCGATCAAGTTTTATTATTTCATTTTCAGACCTTCTTTAGTCCATTGTCATACAATGTAAATTGAATGACAGTAATATAATATATGCTATATGTTATATTGCTGCCATCCAATTTACATTCGTATGCAAAATTACAGACTGATCGGATGCCAGCAAATGCTTAAAAGTGACAAACGAACCGGAACGACAATCGTAAAGAGATAATGTACAAAGCATGATAACAAATTTAACTAAACATGTAAAAAGAAAACTATGTATTCCACAATACTTTCTATGAATAGCAGATCTACACTTTGGAGTTTATATATAAATTTCGATAGCCATCCAAGCTATTTTGAACTCTTCTGTTGGAACGTATGCAAGACTAAACCGAAGTATAACAATATAAGAATAACATTGTCTTACTTTTACCACAAAATATAGAATTATAAAATAATACTTACAAAATAATAATGGAATAGGATCGAAATTCTGAAAGTATAAGGTTCACGAGCGATGACAAACTTGATTTGACCTATAGCATACACAACTGTGCAGAAGTGTCAGTAGCTCCAACATTGAAATTCTCTAACGGTCCCAAAACGCCATCTTAAAGACCATTCTTAAGGCACCATGGTTTATAACCAACTTGGAGATTTATCATTTTTCGAATTTACCCACAGTATAAAATAAACTTGCAAGTACATGCAGACTCGGCTGAGTGCACAACCTAATGAGCTAAAACTAGGTAACTCACTAAAACCCTCCAAAATGCCTGAAAAGGGCACTTGTCGTGGGGTTTGATAAAGAGCATTCCAGATCTATATTCTAAATATAAATCCAGAGAGCCTAAAAAGTCGTGCACTCAATGGATTGCAGACTCGCATTGACATTTACCAACCAATCCGTTTATAGACACTTACTGATTGCGGATATACAAGGAATAAGAAAATATGTACAATAATTAAAAAATATAAATATAATGTTCAAACTTCAGATTCAGACTTTATCAATGAATTA